TCTACTCAAGAATAAGAGTTTTACCTGGTCGAACTCCATTAGCCGTATAGCTTGTGTGAAGTAACTTTTCATTACGGGCTCGAGCAAGGGATTTGCCAAATTCTCGGAAGACACCCTCTCCACTCAGTATCGCGCTTCGGTCACGACCATTATGCGCCCACATCTCGTGTTGTCCTTCTGCTTGATTCTGACTGTCTTTGGCTGCAAGTAACTTTTTGGTGAGTGAAGATGCAGGCAGCGGCTTGACCAAGGGGGTCAACAAGAGGAGCTCCTCTCCAGGATGCATTGAGGCTGTGAGTGGGATAAGTTTCTCCTTATCTCGAATGATTGTGATGGAATCATCGTAGGCTTGGAGTGATAGAGCAAGATGAGATGGATGAAGTTGAGAAAGCAAAGAAATGCCTGGAGGGTTCAACGCCTTCTCCCAAGAGGTACAGGTCGATTTCAGATTAAGTACCCTTCTCAGAGAGGTAAAAATCCGCTCCTTCGTCACAATGCCATTGTCATAACCGAGCTTCAGGCCTTTGATAGCTTCAAGCTGGACGTCATAGGCACGGCAGAGGAGGACAAGATCACAGCCTGCTTCGACGGCCATGATAACACCATTCTGGACACCAAGTTCATGACTGAGAGCCTCCATCTCCAAGCACTCTGAGATTGCGACCCCGTTGAACCCAAGCTCATCGCGAAGGAGCTCATCCACAACTTGATCCGAAAGACAAGCATGACTTACATTCATGGACGGATTGGATATGCCACAGCCCCCGATGAACATAGCATCTAATTTTCCGGAAGCAACGGCATTTCGGAATGGGACCAGAGCGCTGATGCTGAGTTCCTCAAGTGTTTGAGTAATAATGGGCACATCTAGGTTTGAGCCCAGAAAGTTTAGATTTCCATACGATGGGAAATGCTTTCCACATGAAGCAATTCCAGCATCTCGGATTCCTCGCAGAGCCGCCAGGCCATATTGTGATACTTCTTGGGGGTCGTCTCCGGTAGCACGAACTCCCAAAGGCTGGTAGCGAGCATTATTCAATACATCAAGGACGGGTCCTAGCATGAGGTTGACACCACATGCCGAGATCTCAGTGGCAGTAGCCTTTGTCACTTCATATGCTAGGTCGGCTCGACCAGTAGCTGCGACGCCCATGGCACTGGGAAATTGGCATACGTAGTCTTCGTCGAAAAGACTGTTGACTCCTCCATTCTCCTGATCGAGGGCGATGAGAAGAGGTTGTAAATGACCAGCATTCTTAGCAATGGTTTGTAATTCCTGGACCAGCTCTGCTGTTTGCTGAGCAGCTTGACAGCGTTAGATTTATGGAGCAAGTCAGGTGTCTGTAAGTAGAACTCACATTTAAGGTTCTTGGCTGTAAGTATAATGGAACCAAGGTGATGATCCTCAATGAGGCTCCTGATCTGGGGGGTAACTTCAGTGCCATCCCAGCCCATAATCAGGATCTGCCCAATGGCACTACAGGACAACCAGTTACTATCACGATGTCAAGTGAATGGATGGATGGTGTTCTCCGAGATTCGGAGCCGAAGAGTGGAGAGACGGCCCCTTGACAATCCCGCGCCGTCCGGAGACGCGCCTCGACGGGACTGACAGGAAGTGAGGTGAGGTGAGGTGAGGTGAGGTGAGGTGAGGTGAGGTGAGGTGAGGTGAGGTGTATGGGTACGTACCGGTCCAGATCTTGCCATGCTGGATCGAGGTCGCTATTGTCTGTATGGGCCATGATGGTTGGGAGGCGTCGATGCCTCGTCACATGGTACTTTGATCTCTTCTGCTGTGATTCTGGCTCACCCCTTGATGGCCCCGCGTGCTTGAGGTAACGATGAGATGCATTGACACTGCGGTAGCCTTCTCGAGAGGATGAGCTAGACGCTGACCCAGCAGGAGGAGGGGCCATTGGAGTGGAGGTGGAATGCTGCCAACCGCCTAAACCTCGGCTGAGATGATTGGTGTATATTGATTGGCCAGTTGCGGAAGGAGCCAGCTGTTGGGCGATAGCGAAGTGGGGTCTTGCTGTTCGTTGGCTGTTTCTTATGGCAGGCGATTTGATGGGTTACGCCCCATGAGTTAACGTTACATGGAACAACAGCAACAAATGGTCGGCGACAAAGAGGCCCGTTTCACGTTGTGTCGAGACGTGAGAGATTGGACCAGGTAAGGATGAACATTACTTGTGAGGCAAAAATGGACGGATGGCATGGTCTTTGTATTCCACTGCACCCTGGTCTCTGGCTGTCAATATGCACAGCAACATAGCAAAAGGGAACCATACCACGTTGAGACCGAAAACATCTCCACACAGTTTTACTTTCACGGCTTCAACGATGGCACCGTCTGCTTGGGACCAGATGGCACGGTTACTGAATCGCTCACAGTAATGACGAAATGACTTTTCCTATGCTATCTGGGAAAAAACGTGGCCGTTGTCGGCGGCTTGATAGGGCTTTAGGCTTCCTAGGATGAAACTCTTTGGAAAATACTAGTATCCCACGACTCGCCTCTCGTTTTATATGATTCATTGTCCTTAGGGACTTTCATCACAAGATAGAGAGCATCAGAAAACCTCACCTTGAGATATCTAATTCTTTGTTATAGACTCCTCCAGCCCATCTCCAGTATGCCTATCGCCGTCTCGCCAACTCTACCCAAGAATGGCCTCACTAAATTCACCAACTGTCGGTTGCTGAAAGGCAACGACTTGGTCTGGGAGGACCTTTGGGTCAGCTCCATTACTGGCAAGATCATCGATAGCCAGGCTTCATTCTATGGCGGCCGCAACATGCCTGACAGCACTCTTGATCTTGGTGGACGCATCATTGCACCAGGTCTGATCGAGTGCCAGCTCAACGGTGCCTTTGGCTTCAACTTCTCAACCCTGCTGGGTGACATGTCCGAATATGGCAAAAACATCCAAAAGATCAATCGACTACTGGTAAAAACAGGGGTAACATCATACATCCCAACCATCACCAGCCAACGGCCTGAATTATACCAAAAGGTACGCCTTCCTCTTTGGTGGGGCAATCGTACATGAAGCTAATGCCTGCCAGGCCCTCCCGTATCTTGGCCCGTCCGGGGAACTGCGGATCCCGGCTCACGGCGCCGAGTCACTTGGTGCTCACTGCGAGGGTCCGTTCTTGAGTCCCACCAAGAATGGCGTTCACAATGTTGATGTCCTCACACAAGCTGAATCGATACAGGACATTGAGCAATGTTATGGTCGCGAGAATATGACCCCTCGCTCCGATGGCTCGCCAATGCCGATCAAGATGATCACAGCAGCGCCGGAACGCGGACAGATGATGAGCCTGATCCCGGAGATCACATCAAGAGGAATCATCTATTCCGTTGGCCACACCGAGGCAACATACGAAGAGACATCGCAAGCTGTCAGTAAGGGTGCTACAATGATTACACACCTCTTCAATGCCATGCGCCCGTTGCATCACAGAAACCCAGGTGTCTTTGGAGTTTTGGGCAAGGCCGAGAGTCTGCCACGACCTTACTTTGGCATCATCTCAGATGGCATTCATTTGCATCCTACGACTATCAAGATCGCATACAGCGCCCATCCTGATGGCTTTATCCTGGTCACGGATGCTATGCATCTTGTTGGTCTCCCGGATGGAGCCTATCCGTGGACAAACGGAGAGTACACATGCAACATTGTCAAGCAAGGTTCTAAATTGCTTCTTGAGAACTCCGACACGATTGCTGGGAGGTACGTAGTGATCTACTCTATGCAGCTTTGTATCTAACTCTCATCAGCTCAATCACTCTCCTCGAGTGTGTCAATAATTTCAGACAGTGGACTGGAGCTAGTATTCCCCAGGCCCTTGGAGCGGTCACATCAACACCTGCGGCCATGCTTGGCTTACAGGGAGTCAAGGGTTCACTAGAATCGGGGGCTGACGCAGATCTGGTGATTTTGTCAGACGGATACGAAAGCCAGGGTGAAGTCAGGGGAACGAATGAAGTTCTTGTGCTGGACGAAGTGTGGAAGTTTGGTGAGAGGGTGTCTGACTCTGCCAAGGAGAGCAAGTTGATGTGAAAGTTTGGTTGGCTTTCCGTTGCTGTTGGTTCCCGTCCTCATGATAAGAATAGATACGCTGCATGAAACAGAAACTAGAATTAAAAAGAGCATTATTATTAGAAAGGTAAAGACCTAGGGAGCATTGGGCATGAAGGAAACATTGATAAATAAAATATGTATTACTGCAAACGCTGCCAATGTTGTGCTTCATTTTAATTGACTTTGATGAATACTAAAACCCTCCTGGAAGATGCCGAAAGGGCAAACAACGCCAAGCACAACCTGGAACTTTTAAAGCTTCCTCTTATAGCGCTCTCTTTTAGCAGATAACAATGCCCGCGGGGTCTCGAGTCTTCACATGAAGCCCTGTCTCGGCCAATTGTTGAAGCGAATGCCAATCAACTTTCAGAACCCATCGCTGGGAACAGTAAATGGTCTTGGGAAGGAAAGAAAACTCAGGACCTTAAGCCTAAGCGATAAAAAATACTTAGGTAAATCTAGCCTACACTTAGGGTACTTCTTGTCTAAGTTTATTTTTAACACCCTATAGTGAGGTCCGGTGTTTTCTTGCCCCCTGAGGAGGGTCAGCCAGCCCAGTGGGTCTCTCCACAAACCTACAGTAGCCGGAGCCCGTAGAGTTAGCTGGAGGTCGGCAGCCCAGGCTCTCCACACTCCCTCCGTCTCCGCCTCCGCCTCTCCTCATACTACCTGACTATCTCTACCTCGCTCTGCTCGACCTTTGACCTGTCTTATCTGCTCTTTCGGCTCTGTTTGCTCGTCGCTCCAAACCCTCGGCGCTCTATCGGGGAAACAACCCGTCATCGCCGGTTTCGCCAGATACTTCTCATCCCTTTGCACCGTTACACATACTTGCGCGATCACGTTGTGTCGCTGTCTCCCCCGCCGCGCCAATGAGACTTTGACGGCTCTTCTCAACTGAACAATGCCATGTCAACCTACAACTCAATGTCGGGGCTGCCAACTGGCGCCTCTTCCAGCCAAGCGATGGCGATGAACTTTGGATCTGCCCACTCTCAGAGCATGAATATAGACGTGTTCGACCAGGATATGACATTTGACGAATCACTTCTGTAAGCACCGCAGCGCACTTGCGACGCGCGCGCAACTTTGGCTTGGGAGCTAGTCAAGCTAACATCTACAGTGATGGGGCTGCACTGCAGACCCTACCTTTCGGCACCTCGTACGACTTGGATGCCTTTTCCTCGACCTTTGAAGATCCCTTCTCATACTCGACTCGACAACAATTCGATCCTCCGCCGAACCAAGATGCCTTGCACGAAGAATCATCTCCCCAGGAGCCCGATAATAAGCTTCTCGGGTTCTCCGCTCCCGTTTCCAACGCTACCATTGTTAACGAGAACAACCAATTTGTTGACGCCGGCATGACGGCTGAATTGTATGGCATGTTCTTCGTTGCCGAGGATGTCTTTGGAGGAGAATCAACCGGACGCCCGATGGAATTGACTTGTTATCGCCGCAACCTCTGGCAGTGTTCGGGGCAGATCACTCTTCCTCGCGGAATCAGGAATATTGTGAGTGAACAAGGGCAACATATTCCAATATTCGAGCTAGTAGCGACTATTGCAGCCATCGAATCCATCGAAGGAAAGGCTACAGAAATAATATCGATCCCCTGGAAGAACGCCAACCCCCAGGGAGGTGATGACTCAAAAGGCGTCTCAGCGCCGCCCACTATCACACTAGATATAACGACAGGCCAGGAGATCGACGCACATCGTGTTTCTCTGCCTATATCTTGGAAACGGCTTCAGTTCAAGCATGCTACTGCCAACAACGGCAGAAGAAAGGGCTTGCAACAGCACTACGTGGTCCAGATCACCCTGTTGGGAAAGACACAGGCCGGTGAACTCATAAAAATATCGGAGATCAAATCTGGCCCAGTCATTGTTCGTGGCCGGAGTCCTAGAAACTTCGACAGCAGGAAGGACGTTCCTCTTACTGGCGACAAGAGATTTGAGAGGAGAAGCACATCGACGTCAAATGTAGACCACCCAACCCTTAAACTAGAACGGGAGAATTCGATAAACTTCACGCAAAGATTCCCTCCTGCTGGAAATCTCCAGGTAAGGCATACGTGAGTCCATCTACGGAAAAGACAGAACTGACAGATAAGCAGCCGAACGACTGGGCAACACCTGGGTCAATGACCCACCCACTACCCAGTCCTCAACCCGTTGCAAGTCCACATCCGGCAAAACGAGTCGCCTTATCGCCAACAATGACCAGACCACCGATACCAGCTTGGTCCAGCGATCCAAACAACTCTGCTAAAGCAGCGAATTCCCACAGTAACAAAAACTCACTCCCGCGTCAGAATGCATCTCTGCCGATCAATCTGTCGCTATCAGAGGACGAGAGAAGTCCGAACCGCTCGAGTGCCGAGCTGCACAGTCCCAATTCTGGCAAAGGCTACACCACCGCAGGGGCGAACAGGGAAAACAGTCCTGCAGATGAGGGTGCTGATCCCTTGTACGAATACTTTCCACTGACTGTGGATGATTGGTACGTTACCACTTTGTTGGATCTCTCCACTTTTACGTTACTAACCTCCACCAGGATGCCGCCTGTCGATGCTGTTTATCGGCCTCACGTGGTCCATCACACTATCATGCCACCCGAGATGAAAGCACAACAGCTCAAGAGCAAGGCCAAGCGGTACTTTGCCTCTGACTGAAACGCAACAGGTGGTCGAGACTGATGAGTTACGAATTGTTGGAAAAGCCGATTTCCTGTATATTATATATCTAAGCTTTTTACGGGCTTTCTGGAAAGGGGGAGTCTGTTTGGGATTATAGCACATTGTGAGCAAGTATATACACATTAGGTGGACGGTATACTCATCATTGAGGGCATGAGATGGTTTGCATCGATACCCGAGAATTTTTATGCGACAATTGGTCATTATTGCAAAGTATGCATTACAAAACACAGCATATGTTGTCAAATCATACTCATGTTGCTTGAGAGTGAATTTATGCACAGACCGAATTCTCAATTTACAAGAAGCAATAGATTGTATTAGACACCTGTGATTCTTCCGCTCGTCCTAGATGACGATCGATTTTCAAGAAATGACACTTTTCCCCCAAACGCCTCCACGCCAAAAGACGATACACGTAACACCCATAAACTCCAACACACAACCTATCTAAAGCCGCCAGTGGTATTTATGTTCTATCTCTAACCTGACTTAAAACGCCTTACTCGAATACGGGGCTAAAAATGCTATTGTTGTAGTCATACTGATACAGTCTGATAATTTCGTTCCTGACCCAACTCTGTAGCGACTGAACAAGACCTTCCTGGTCTCCAATTCTTTTCTACTCTTCCTATCCCAATATATCCACCTATCGCGTTTAATGCGCCCCGACGGTGTTGATTTTCTTCTGTAGTTCAGGGTTGGGTGTCAACCTGCGGCTTAGATCTGGCTCAGGAATGCGCGAGGCCATACTGTCAGGAACCAGGTCCGGCGACGGTGATCGCATTGCCTTAATGTTTGCGGTCATCGGTTGGAGCAAGTTCGCGACAGGGGCGTCTGGAGACATGGCGACGGCACTATCAATCATCTCAACTTTCGTCTTTGGGACGTCGGTCTGAACTTCGAGGTTGGGGGTAAGTCTGCGGTTCAGGTTCGGTTCCGGAATACGCGACGCCATTCGGTCGGGGAACAAATCGGGCGAAGGGGTTCTCATAGAGTAATCGCCCGCAGGTGTCGCTCGCAAGAGGTGTGAAGCAATCGGCTCCGGAGCGATAATCGCAGGACTCTGAGCTCTCTGAATCTTGGTTTCAGGGATAGCAACATTGCCAGTTCGTACTTTGGAGGGAAGAATCTGCTCGAATCCCTGCTCGCGAGCAACTTTCTCGATGCTCTTGAAGTACTGTCGTCCATGTTAGCGGAGGCTCGTCATGGGAGGAAGGGTTGCTTGCCTTGACTGTCTTTACCTGAAGTTCCAATGTGGCGTCCTCGTCCACAACAATCATGGGATGGGGGTGGAGCTGAAGGCATGATAGCGACCACATGTGGTTGACGCCTTGTTCGACGCATTTTTGCAGTGCAAGCGCCTTGCGGGCCCCAAGGATAATGACAACAACCTCTCTTGCTTCAAGGACTGTTTGGACGCCCACAGTCAAAGCCATTCTTGGCACCCGGCTTACATCGTTGTCAAAGAAGCGCGAGTTGGAAAGAATGGTGTCGTATGCCAATGTCTTGACTCGGGTACGACTGGCAAGGCTTGATCCGGGTTCGTTGAAAGCGATGTGCCCGTCTTCACCAATGCCGGCCAAGAAGAGATCAATACCACCAGCTGCCTTGATAGCTTCCTCGTATGCGTCACATTCGGCCTCCGGGCTGGCAGCGTTGCCATCGAGTATGTGGACGTTGGAAGGGTGGATGTTGACATGAGAGAAGAAGTGCTTCCACATAAAGGAGTGGTAGGAGTTGGGGTCGTCTCGAGGAAGACCGACATACTCGTCCATGTTGAAGGTGACTACATTCTCGAACGAGACCTGCTGTGGTTAGATGATGCTCTAGGATGAGGCGACGCAACATACTTCGCCAGCCTTGTACTTGCGTACTAGCATATCATACACTCCGATAGGGCTAGAACCTGTAGGGAGGCCGAGGATAAAGGGATGCTCGGGTGTGGGTTGGAAGGCATTGATGCGGTCCACGACGTAATTGGCGACATACTTGCATGCCTCAGTCTCGTCGTCACGGATGATGAGCCGCATGATGTGGTTGTGTTATTGATAGTGGGTGATGTTATAAGTGCTGGATTTAGAAATGAGGTTATGAAGTACTGGGTTTTTGGTAGGGAGTTCTTGAGTGTGTTGGGGGTTGAAGAAATATGATTACACTTTCGAGGAGTCAATTGCTTATGAGGAGAACTTATCAAAGGCGCACAAGTCACTACCAAGAGAGAGTCACTTGCCATCCACGGGGACCCGTTGCATCATGATAGAAGCCACTACCTGAGATAGGTAGGACGCGCCACTTTCCTTTCCGCTTTTCAACCACCATTCATGATGGAGCGTGGGGAGAGCGACTTCGGTCAGTGGGCAATGTAAGGTTGGATAGCAAGTCGCGATAGGTGCAGTGATTCGTGGTGGAGGGAATGAAACGTTTACTATGAAGTTTGACACTGTTTGAGAAGCCGCACTGTATTGCTTGCTTGCTCATGATAGGCACCTTAGTGTTGTCAAGGTTGCTTTCTGCTTCCATTGGCCAAAGCCAAGCTTGCTTGTTTCTACGGGGCAAAGACGGATATAGTCAGTGATATACAGTAGCCGGCATTAGCTCCGATGTAAGGTAGCGTTGGAGGGATGTTATCAGATCCATGGTACAGTAAGTAGGTCGCGGGATCCCGATTTCTCTTTACGGGAGGTGGAAGCATGATAGAGTTCTTTTGTTCGTATTGGATACCTTGCTTCTGGAACTTTGTCGCTACGTGAACCCTACGTCTCAGCAAATGGACCTGAACCGAGGTCACATCCCTCAAGATGCTCAAGAATTAATGCCGTGTAAGCGTACTAGTTGATGACAGGATTGGTTCTAGGATATTACTGTTCTGTTCGTGGCAATGTCACTTCAATACAGGGGTCCAGAGTAGAGGTAGACGCGCCGAAGAAGGGCAGATTGTTTCAAATTACGTTCCTTGGCGATGTCTGTGTAACAAGGACAGGTTTGAAGTAACATGTAAAATCAGATGAACCCTCTGAATTTATGGAGATTGTTGAGACGGCCACGAATAAGCCTCCTCTCAGCCTCCAATAGTAGCAGTGCACACTAACAATTAAAACGTGACGGGCCCATGTCAACCACTAATGAAATACCATCCACTTTCTCACGGGGCACTCACACTCACACGCAACGTTACGTTACAACTAACTAACTCCCCCCCATCTGGCTGCGATCCTCGACCCCGTCTGACCCAACAAACTCCAAGGCCACCTACAATGACAATTACAGTTACAGGCGCTTCTGCTCACTAATTTGCTGGCTCGCATCGCTGTGGCGGCGGTTGTCGCGTGTCGCCTGTGACTGTCTGTGAGAGAGCGGGTGCGTGAGCCGGCGCTTTCGCTGTGCGACGTTGATTTTGATCTCATGGACGAATTGGAGGCGATATGATACATTACTACTACCAACTACCACTTCCAACCTACTACACCTTGCTCCCTTGCCCTCCCTCTACTTCCATGACACAGCGTGAACTGAACTGAACTGCTCTGAACTGAATTCGACCAGACCGACTTCTTCCCCTTGCAACGTCGACTCTTTTTCTGCTTCTCCTCTGCGGGACTCTGGTCGTCTGCTCCGCTCTATCCGTCCCTTCTCATGCGTTGACTCCGTCTACTCCTGGCATGTCCCATCAGAGGTGGCCCATCTCCATCTTCGTGTTGTTTCCTTCAGATCTCCCCTCGCCTGAGCTACCTATCCAGGAACCTGTGCCTGTCCATCAGACACTCTCCACCTGCTAGTAGTAGTAGTAGTAGTTGGTCCATCCGTCGGGGCGTAAGATTCTCACCCTCACCCCATTCCATTCCATCCCAGCCCATCTATTCCTTCGAAGGCGGTTGCTTCAACCTCTTCTTTTCGCATTCTCTTGGACTATTTACATTCTGCCGTGTCCATGACTCAAACCTTCTTTCCTTTCTCCTTTCGTTTCTATTTTCTATAATCACTCATTACCATCATGCCAGCGACTTTTCAAAAGACACTCTTGGCGGCTATTATCAAGAGCCTCCTTCGGGGGAAATCACTGGTGCAGTCACTCTTGGCTTACTGGGGCAGCTCTCTGGGACTCGAGACAAATACAAAGACGCGAGTCGCCAATACGCCACGCAAATCTGCCCAAGACTTTCTCAAAGAGGCAGAGGCTCTATTCCTCGACCCTGTCGGTCAAGATGGCCTACAAGAACTATCCAACAACATACGGAAACAACTCCTAGAGCGATTGGAAACTGATATGGAGTGTATGCTACCGTCATACAGTCATCAGCTACCAAGAGGTACAGAGGTTGGCCGCTTTGTGGCATTGGATGTTGGTGGTTCGACCCTCAGAGTAGCATTGGTGGAACTGTGCGGTCGCGTGTCCAATATCGGGGAGGAGAGCAGGATCGTGAGCATGAGGAACTTCCACATCACACCTGAGATCAAAGCCCTAGAAGGCAGGTTGTTCTTTGACTGGATGGCCGAGAAAATACTAGAGACTCTATCAGCAGAGCTAGAGCAGCAAGATACATCTGATGGACCTTTGCCTATGTCGATGGCATGGAGTTTTCCCATTGAGTATGCTCATTCAACACACTCTTTAGCCCAGAGCTAACATTCTTTAGACAAACATCACTGGCAGGTGGCAAGTTGCAAGGGATGGGCAAGGGCTTCGCTGCGTGCAACGGGTTGTTAGGTCAAGATCTTGGAGAGATCGTACGAACAGCCTGCTTGAACCGCGGTCTCAGTGTAGAACTTCGAGCTATTGTCAACGACTCCAGTGCATGCTTATTATCGGAGTCGTATAACCACCCCACAACAAGATTCGGACTCATCCTTGGTACTGGCGTCAACCTTGCTGCCTATCTTCCTGTATCCGCCATCGGACGTGTCAAATTTGGCGAGCGTCCTCCCCAATGGTTCGAGAAAGCGACACATGTCATCATCAACAGCGAGATCAGTATGATGGGACGTGATATCTTGCCCTTGACAAGATGGGATCGGCAATTATTGGCGAATCACTCCCGGCCTGAGTTTCAGCCTCTAGAGCATATGGTCAGCGGCATGTATCTGGGCGAGATTTGCAGATTGGCACTTGTTGAGGCGATTGAGTCGACTGGGGTTTTTGGAGGTGTTGTTCCTGTGTCCCTGGAGAAACCTTACTCGTTCTCAACCGAGACGCTCTCTATCATTGAGAGGTGAGTTTCAGACTCAAGATTATCCAGCTTCAGCATGCTAACGATCATAGGGATACGAGCTCTGATGCCGAAGAGGCGCGCGAGCAATTTTCCTCTCGCCACCCATCGAGCCAAACCCCCACAGCTGCTGATCTAACATTCCTCAAGCAGCTAGCTGGCTTGATCTCCAGGCGCTCAAGTGCGCTTGTTGCTGCTGGCGTACACGCTTTCTGGAACTTGCGCATCGACAGCCAGAACAAGTTCGTATCCACACTATCACCCGAATCATCTGAGCGAGACAGCGCGGAAGCAGACCGTGACCTGGCCGAGACGACAGTAGCCTACAACGGCGGCGTTATCGAGAGCTACCCTGGCTATCTTGATAGTTGCCAGTCATACCTGAATGACTTGGTAGCGGCTGACAAGATGGAAAAGTCTGGAAACAGAACCATCAAGCTTGTGTCAGCAAAGGAGAGCTCCCTGATGGGAGCAGCAGTGGCTTTGGCCTCTTTGGAAGAGGTCGTAGAGGGGCCATTGGGCGTGGTCGGCTAAAGAAAAGGAACAGGTATACGCCATTTTAATGACATGTTATTAGCATTGCATCGGTGTCTGGCGTTTTGGTTTTTGAGATGAAAATAATGTTGGATTATTTTTTATGGAGAATATGTTTGGATGATGAACTTGGGACGGGATGTCGAAATATATTAATACAGCCCTTAGAGACGTGTGTCCCTGGGAACTGCTCATGGTAGACTTCGTGTACAAAAGTGTGATTCTCCAGCCTAAAATAATAGTCTCATCAAAAGATCGGCTATCAAAACAACCAAGTTCTCTTATGCCTACCTAGTGTTTGGTACCCTTGTGGCCCAACTTCATCACGCCTTTCCAACTGAAGTAGGGTCACGTGCACGCGTCAAACTCTCGCGTTGAGTGGTTGGCGCGTCTGCAGCTTGACAATAGCTTCTAGGCACCCCACGGTATCTTGTACACCAACCTAATATCCTCCCGCAGCTGTTGATCTCTTGAGCTTAGATTAATTTTTTGCTTGATGTCATAACCAAGGTGCTGTTCGCTTGTTTTGTTCACTTTCATCCTATCTTTTTGCCCTCAACACGCAACATGGCCGCCGCCGACACATTTGCTGAATGCGTCATCGCGTTCGTCGCCAGCAATTTACTGACTCCCAAACTGATCGGAGAGGTAATCTGAAGCTGCTAAGCTCAATTATCAATACTGACAACTCCTAGCTATCGACCGTTCTAGAAGAGAATGGTGCAGAAATATGTGAACCTCGACGCGACGGCTCATTACCGATCGAGAAAGTCACCCACATCATCTCCAACACGATCGATTTCCCTCAGTTCACTGAGGCACAGGCTCATATGATCCCTGTAGTGACGACTCAATGGATCACCTTATCTATAGCTCGCAGGAAACAGGCTCAAATTAGGCCTTTTTCGCCTGATCCGAGAATGATCTTTTCCGAGGTGGTGGTGACTTGTGCGGATCTGCCAGAGACCGACAAGGAGAGCATTGCTGGTGCCACAATGGCTTTGGGTGGACAAGAAACAAAAGATGCATCTAAGTTAACCACACATATTTGCGCCCTATCGATGGACCATCCCAAGGTCCAAGTTGCTCTACAAAAGGGATGGAAAGGCAAAGTTGTGTTGCCACACTGGTATGTCTAGCGAGCGCAGAGGGCTTAAAATTTTGGTCGTTGACAGTCTCCAGGTTCGATGATTGTTTCAAACTTGGGAAACGTATCGACGAAGGCCCCTATCTACTACCCGATCCCGAAATTCTTAAGAAGACTTCTGCGGACGATCTCAAAATACCCTCCAACGAAAACCTCGCGGGCGCGACATCACCGACGCCGAATTATCTTCCTTTACCCTTGCCTTCTGATGGAGAGGTCGTTCGCCCACCGGTCACTGTTTTTCAGGACCGTAATGTGTTGCTATCTTGGGATCTGACTATAACCGATCGACTGTCAAAGGTGGTCAAAGAAATTATCGTGAGAGGGGGCGGAAAGCTCGTGGATAAAGTCGAGGATTGCGACATGCTCATTTGCCAATATCGCGACGGTCCTCAATATGTTCAAGCGGCGCAAGCGTACAAAGAAGTCGGAAATCTGGCTTGGCTTTACTGGCTCATCGTCCATAACGAGTGGACATCGCCGCTCCGTCGACTGCTACACTATCCGATCCCCAAGGATGGTATAGAAGGATTTAAGGGTCTACGTATCACAGTGTCAAATTACGGTGGTGAAGCACGAATTTACCTGGAGAACCTGATCAAAGCTGCTGGAGCCGAGTTCACCAGAACGATGAGAGCCGAGAATACGCATCTAATCACTGCTAGAGACTCTAGCGAGAAATGCAAGGCGGCTCCTGAATGGGGGATCGCCGTTGTCAACCATCTCTGGATCGAGGAGAGCTATGCCAAGTGCGAAATCACGCCCATCAACATCAAGAAGTATAATCATTTCCCCCCGCGCACTAACCTGGGCGAGATAATCGGGCAAACGTTCTTTGATGAACCAAAGTTGCGCGACAAGTACTACCCCGGGGGGCCGGCTAAGCTCTCGCCACGAGCCAAGAGGAAGCGAGCAATCCTGGAAGCTGCAGAGGAGAACGCATATGCACGAGGGCCAGCAGAGGGTGTTGTTATTGGCCAGGCTGGTAACGAGGACGTCGAGATGGAAGACTCTAACGGGGGAGGAAGTGAGAAGTCCGCAAAGAAGACGAAGACCATCAGAGATGCAACACCAATTCGTCCACGCTGTACTGGGAAGGAGAACGAGACGCCGTCGGTGGCTTCCACAGGAAGTCGTAGCGCCAAAGCGAAAGCCCAGGAACGTCTGCATGGCTTGAGCGACGATATTGCGCTTTACGAAAAGGAGAAGAAGAGACATGCCAAGGGAGGCAACACAATCTGGGGTGGAAAGCGAGCTGCCGACCAGGCCGAAAAGACTAACACCAAAACCAAACAAGAGGAGAAGCCTGAAGATGAAGATGCCGACGCGTTAGCGAAGCGGCCAATCAAAAAGACCAAGCCGTCACTTCCAGACATTCAGATGCGTGTTGTCTTGACTGGATTCACTCGCTGGGTTGGGGATAAGAACAAGGAAGACCAGGATCGAGTACGTAAGCGCGAGCCATTTGTTTGAATCTATTCTAACCAGACGACAGAGAAAACTTCGGGACATGGGCATACAGATTGTGCAAGAGGGTCAGCCGTGCGACTATTTGGCAGCCCCTAGTGTCGTCCGCACTGTCAAATTCCTATGCGCGCTTGCACGCGGCCCAACAGTGATCTCGTCAACTTTTATTGACCAGTCTCTAGACAAGGGCACCCTTCTCGATGTTGAGGATTTCATCCTCAAAGATAATGCAGCTGAGAAGCGGCACAACATTGTGCTTGAGACATCAGTCGCTCGTGCCAAGGCAAACAGAGGCAAACTTCTTGTTGGTGTTCCCATCTATTGCACGGAAAAGATCCGCAATGGTGCGGAGAGCTACAAAGCGATCGCCGAGGCCAACGGGGCGATCTTCAAGATCTACCGGGCTCGGAGCGGGACGACAATCCGACCAACAACGGCAGAGGAGGAGGGTAACGCGCCACCCGAGCCGGTCTACCTATTAAGTAGCGGACGTCCTGACGAGAGGCCGCTTTGGGAGAAATTCCGTGATATGGCGTACAAAGGTAACATGGAGCCTCGCATTGTTGCACCTGACTGGTTGCTCGATGTCGCAATGGCTCAACAGGTGCGGTTTGATGACAAATTTTTGGCGGAGAACTTTTACGGAAATTCGCAGTAGCCATTTCTCTGACTACTGCTTGATGGCGTTCAGGATGGTTTGACATCGCTGCCGATGTTGGAGTCCGTAGTCGGTTTGTATCGGTGCGCGTGCTATGATGGAAAAGTCGCATGTGCTTTATGTAGAGACGAGTATATATGGTTCAGTAGTACTTAGAAGAATTTGACGCCTAAAGAGTCGTCCTGGCCGAATATTTGGGCTTTGTTTCGTTTGACAAGGATGTTTAGGGCTTTGAGAAGGACATCAGTGTCCATGCCGTGAATATCTGTGAGGATCAGCTACAGGATCATCAACATATTGGCTTGCCTGACTGAAATTACCATTTCCTTTTGTACCGTCTCCCTCGACAAGTTCGTAGACTGTAAGAACACTCCCCTTCTGTCCGGTGTCTTCGACATAGTTCTCTACAAGCTCCGCCCATTCTTCGGGCTTTCGCCAATATAGAAACACAACATCTCCTGTTGATTTGCCTCCGACGTACTCTACACGCCCATCTGTGTGCATATAAGAAATCACGTCACGAATATCATCGAATTGTAGCCTTCGATCGAGTTTTCGGTTTACAAAGAGGTCTGAATCTGCTGCTTCGGAAAGCGACAGGCGGAAGATGCGGTTATGTCTCGCGTAGGCGAGGATGAGATCGGACCATTTGTTGCGCTGAGCATGGAGCGTAGTGAGGTTGGTTTGGCGAGTGAAGAAGGCGGGAAAATGATACTCTCGGGGGAATGCGAAGGAGGATTCGGTGGTAGTCGCCATTGTCTAGGCCGGTGATGTTTGTGTGGTGTTGAAGATTGGAGGGGTGAGACGATGACGTGGGAGGGGCTCTACAGCTAAGGTACCCGTCAGGCTAAACACGTGTGATAGGTTGATCGGCCAAAGCCGTTTACGGCAATGCAAGGCAATTCTAGGCCTCAGACCAGACTTTCCTTGCTACCTTATCGAACCATCAGATGAAGATCTACGGAGCAAATATAGTAAAAATCTTTTAGTCCTTCGCTTGGAAATGGCATACCAGAACAAAGGTTGAAATTCGTGTTTGAAATCACATCATCTCCATTCGTACGACACGACATGACACCAAACTTCGCCTCTCTTCGCCTCATGGATTCCTCTCCGAAACTCCACATAACGGACTTGTCCCCCATAGTCACTGCGTGTTCTTGTTGACTATTCCGTGGAGAATGCTTGACAATTGAATCTCCGCGACATTGAACCGCGGTGTTATCTTTGTGGGGGAACTGTAGGTATGGCCCAGTTAGAGTCGCTGTGTTGCAAAGCAGAAGAGGTTGATATTGAGGCTTATCTATGCCGGCATTGATAAGGAGGCTCACTCCGAGGAGAAAGGTTGATACAGGGAATATGGGAACTAGTCAAGGTAGGTAGTAAATATTCCCGATCGATACAACACACAAAAATAGCTCGAGGAAATTTAATATCCGGCCATGAGTGAGGATTCTGATTGAGCGACTCTAGAACAATACCATTCCGTATTCGGGGTCTGAGGACATCTTCTCAAGATAAGGCCAAGAAAGAGCATTGACAATTCTACACTCACTGAATTAGGCGATATTCGAGATGGCTTCATCCTTCACCGAGACTCAGGTCAGTCAACAACCCACAAAAGACTTGACCGTAGCGTACGGTGAGACTATGAGCTGGAGCATAATATTTCGCCAGAAACCGGATGCGATTTTAATATGAGAAACTCCTAGAGACCTCATATCATGCTCTGTCGTGGTGTGTTCCGACGTACGACCCCTTTGCGAGAATGTTGCTTCTCCGCGGAGGCCAAAACGCCTCTACCGTGCGGGCGCAGTCCCTGATTGGTCCCTCAGCCACGGCGCGCAGTCTCCTTATCAGAGATCAGCCCTGCCGACAGCTGCAAATGCGCTCACCTTCTATGGACCAGCGGCGGAAATGCTTAGCACGAGCTGTACTATCCCGGAGATGTACGTTCTAGATAGGGAGATGGGGAAAACATCAGAGGGGATCCATAGTTTGTGGTCTTGAGGTACATACAGGAGACCCTCTTTTTGTAACAGGCTCTGAGAATCACTTATAACCATGAGAGGCCGTGATATCCCTTCTATCTTTTGGGTTCCTTTCCCAAGTATACTTGTTTTAATATCGACTTATCAAAATGACTGCAACGGCACAAAAACGTGTGGTGGTCGTTGGCCTGGGCATGGTGGGCATTGCTTTCATGTAAGTCAACTTACACTATTTACTTGCCAACCGTGATCTGACAATAATGACACAGAGAAAAGCTGCTCAAATATGACGCCAAATCAAAAGAATATGCAGTCACAGTGGTTGGAGAAGAACCATATCTCGCCTACAACCGAGTAGGACTCACAACATTCTTCGAGCACCGAAAGGTCGAAGAACTATACATGAACCCAGCAGAATGGGTATGTTCAATATGAACCAAAACTGCATTCCAAGCACTAACAACCTATAGTACGCAGAAGCTGGAAGCTCATTAAACTGTCACATCAACACAAAAGCCACACACATCAACACCGAGGACAAATTCATCGAATGCGCAAACGGCGAGAGTTACCCTTACGATATCCTCGTCCTCGCCACCGGCTCAGACGCCATCCTTCCCCGTATGCTCAAAGGCTGGGACGCAAATGGTGTTTTCGTCTACCGCACAATCGAAGACCTGAACAAGCTCATCAAGTTCTCCCACGACAAGAAGGGCACAAATGGGGCTGTCGTTGGCGGTGGTCTCCTCGGTCTTGAGGCCGCAAAGGCCATGCTTGATCTTGAGACCTTCAACAGAGTCGATGTCATTGAGAAGGCTCAGTGGGTTCTCACAAGACAGGTCGACGAGACTGGTGGCAAGATGGTGGCGGATCAGGTCTCGCAGCTTGGTGTGAACCTCAATCTCGGCAAGGGCGTGTCAAGCATGAAGACTGACGAGAACAACAACCTTACTGGAGTCATCTTTGACGATGGCTCAGAGATCAGCTGCTCAACGCTATGCTTCGCTGTTGGTGTCAAGCCAAGAGATGACCTCGCCAGAAGCGCCAACCTCGAAGTTGGACAGCGCGGTGGCATCGTCGTCAACGATGACTTGAGAACGAGCATGCCCGATATCTACGCCATTGGAGAGTGTGCAAGCTGGCGTGGAATGGCTTACGGCCTTATCGCACCTGGTGTGGCCATGGCCGAAGTCGTCGCTTTCAACCTCACACAAGCCAAGCTTCACAGTCCCCAGACCTTCAAGACTCCCGACATGAGCACAAAACTCAAGCTCCTCGGAGTCAACGTCGCTAGTTTCGGCGACTGCTTCGCTGATCGCGATGGTCCCGTAACACTTCCTCCCAAGTACGCCAGGACACTCGTTAATGGCGATGCTAAAGAGCCCAAATCTGTGCAAGCTCTCACATACAAAGACCCTTTCTCTAATGTGTACAAGAAGTACATCTTTACTAAAGATGGAAAGTATCTCCTCGGTGGCATGATGATTGGCGACGTCTGCGATTACGTCAAGCTTTTACCAATGGTCAAGGCGCAGAAGGAGCTTGAGATTTCCCCCAGTGAACTTATTCTCGGTGTCAAGAAGGACGGCGGCGAAGATACTGATGATCTTGACGATGATGCTCAGGTGTGTTCGTGTCACAACGTCACAAAGGGCGACATTGTCAAGGTTGTCAAGGATGGCACCTGTAAGGACGTTGCCAGTCTCAAGAAGTGCACAAAGGCCGGCACCGGCTGCGGAGGTTGTGTTCCCCTCATCACCACCATCTTCAACAAGACAATGGCATCTATGGGCCAAGAGGTCACCAACTACGTCTGCTCGCACTTCAACCACTCTCGCCCTGACCTGTTCAACATCATCATGGTCAAGCGCCTCAAGAACATGGCTGAAGTGATGCGCGAGGCTGGAAACGACAAGGAGGCTCTTGGCTGTGAGCTGTGCAAGCCTGTGGTAGCAAGCATCATGGCTTCGCTGTGGAACAGGCACGTCATGGACAAGACCACCCACGGTCTCCAGGAGACCAATGATCGTTTCTTGGGTAACATCCAGCGAGATGGTACCTACTCTGTTGTTCCTCGTGTATCCGGTGGTGAGATTACTCCTGACAAGCTTGTGGTCATTGGCGAGGTTGCCCAGAAGTACAACCTCTACACCAAGATCACAGGCGGTCAGCGTATCGACTTGTTTGGTGCCCAGAAGCAGGACCTTCTCGACATCTGGGGCCAGCTTGTTGCTGGTGGCATGGAGTCTGGTCATGCTTATGCCAAGTCTCTGCGAACTGTCAAGAGTTGTGTTGGCTCCACGTGGTGCCGGTTCGGTCTGAGTGACAGTGTCGGTATGGCTGTTCGTCTGGAGGAGCGATACAAGAGTATTCGAGCTCCTCACAAGATCAAGGGCGGTGTGAGTGGTTGTGTGCGAGAGTGTGCTGAAGCTCAAGGCAAAGAGTATGTTTTACCCCCCATATTTCAATTCTTCGGTCCGCTAACATGGATTCAGTTTCGGGTTGATCGCCACTGAGAAGGGCTGGAACATCTTCGTTGGCGGTAACGGTGGTGCGAACCCTCGCCATGCCGAGCTTCTAGCCAAGGATGTGCCCCCAGCTGATGTCGTGACGATCCTCGACCGATATCTCATGTTCTACATGCGCACAGCCGACAAGCTTCAGCGAACAGCCCGCTGGATCGAGAACCTCCCCGGTGGTATCAAGTACCTGCAAGAGGTCATCCTCGAGGACAAGCTCGGCATCAACGCCTCACTCGAGGCACAGATGGAAGAGCTTGTTGACAGCTTCTTCGACGAGTGGGCTGAAGCCATCAAGAGCCCTGCCATCGCTGCCAAGTTCAAGCAGTTCGCCAACACAAACGACACAACACGCAACATGGAGCTTGAAGATGACCGTGGCCAGAAGCGACCAGCTTTCTGGCCCGCGGATGCTGCAGCTACAGACAACTTCTCAGGTCTCAAGGACAAGTGGTCCATGACTTCTTGGGAACCCATCATTGAATCTTCA